AAAAAATTGAATCATAATTTCCTGTCGATATGCACATCTACCTAGTATGTCCTTATTATCTACAAAGTTTCATGAAATTCTGTTGTGTGGTTTCAGAGGAGTTGCGATGACAAACTGTTGCAGAGGTATATTGAAGCAAATAAGTTAAAAGGGGCGTAACTCCTAGAAACAAAATTAAATCGTAATTTCCTGTCGAGATGCACATCTACGTAGTATGTCCTTATTATCTGAAAAGGTTTCATGAAATTCTATTGTGTGGTTTGAGAGGAGTTGCGATGACAAAAGGTTGCAGTAGTATATTGGGCAAATAAGTTCAAAGGGGCGTAACTCCTGGAAAAAAAATTGAATCGTAATTTCCTGTCGATATGCACATCTACGTAGTATGTCCTTATTATCTACAAAGTTTCATGAAATTTTGTTGTGTGGTTTCAGAGGAGTTGAGATGACAAACTGTTGCAGTAGTACATTAAAGTAAATAAGTTCAAAGGAGCGTAACTCCTAGAAAAAAAATTGAATCATAATTTCCTGTCGATATGCACATCTTCCTAGTATGTCCTTATTATCTACAAAGTTTCATGAAATTCTGTTGTGTGGTTTGAAAGGAGTTGCGATGACAAGAAACAGGACTAACGGACAGACGGACGGACGGACAGACGGACGGACGGGTCAAAAACATTATACCCTCCGCAACTCGTTGCGTGGGTGGAATTATATATGTTGTGTACAAGTTGCAATTTTGTACATATTATAACTTCTTCAGGGTCTTTTGTACAAGCTATCAGTATTTTATTACACACATTCTTCGTCAGGTGATACTAGTGTATTTTCAATAATTAGTTGTTTTACTAAAAAAAAAAATATAAACTTCAACGTAAAGTTATTCACTGTCCTCTTTGTCATAAAACTGGAAATAGGGACACCTACATATGTATTCTATATTTATTTTTTCATTAATACCTGATTCTATGTCCACAAAATATATTTTAGTGTTCTTTTACTGTGTATCAGTGCTATGTAAAAGACTTTCTCTAATTCTTAGCTGATTCATCCTTTTCCTGACCTGTTGATTATTTTTATTTAATCAACTTGTGATTCTTTTGATCTCAGTTCTTCAATGGTTAAAATTTGATTATGACGTCAAATTGTCTTTGGTGGCCTTCGGCTATTGTCTGCTGTTGTCTGTTCGTTTGAGAGGAGTTGCGATGACAAGAAATAGGACGGTAGGACAGACGGACAGACGGACGGACGGGTCAAAAACATTATACCCTCCGCAACTTGTTGCGTAGGGTATAAAAATGATCCGTTGAGGGAACACAGCTTCCTGAGTGTGCTCCAACGCTGGAAAGATTTATGTAAAGAAGCAGAAGATTACAAGGATTGCCAAATGATTCCGATAAAATATGTTCCACAATTTTGATTTTGGATAGCAGCAAAAATTCAAATCAGAAAAGGAACACATTAGTTGCATTTCCGCATGATGTGATTTTAATATGAGAGATGGTATCCGAGAACCTGCATGCATGTAATATTTGTATGGTTCTATTTATGTTCCTTTGAGGTGGCAATTTCTTACTTGGGTTTGTCCACATAAAACTGTAAATTTGTTCAGGATTTTCCCAGTATCATTAGCAAAATATTTTGTTTAAATGTCGAAATTGTTTCTAAGAAGATATATTATGGTTTTAAGTAACAACAATATACCAGATATGGCAGATACCAATACAGATGCTCATTACTCCTACAAACTGATAAAAATTCTTTTAGATATGAACAGGACTGACGGACAAAAGGATTTAAAAAATTATATTTACTCACATTACCGGTATGTATAAGTGAATGATCATTTACATTCAGGACTCATCAGCAGGCAGCACAGATGCTTAAAAAAAGTGTTACAAAACCACCTAGCATCATATTGCTAGTAGCATTGTTTGGTAAATTTGTGCTTTTTTTATTTGGCTTCTGGACAAAAAATGTTTGGTTCAGTGTAATTAAAATCCTTTAATCTCCCATTAAATACTAACATTGAAAGAATACTACTTCAACAACTCCTTGTGCTGACAGTTTTAATCATCTTACCTCACAGCAGATCATGTGCAGATGCGAGTTGTGTGTCAAATCTTTATTTCACAAAGAATGCATTTGCATAACAATGAACTGAGCTCGAAGCAAAGCACTTTAATAATACACTTAGACAAAAAGCTCAATCCAGTGATATACTTTGTAATAGAGGTCTGTCATGAACATTCGCCGTTCATAACCACCTCTATGATCTAACAATCATGCCAAACAATATGGATCAGAATTCCTGAAAAAGACATGTAACTTTTTTTATATTATATGTACGTATCCCAGTTAAAACATACAAAGTTGTGGTAAAAACATTCAGTTTCTAGCAAGTAGTTGTCACTTCATGCACAAATTAATAATATATGCTGAGTGCCTCTCTTTTTGAAATAAAAACATACTTCCACCTATTCATACCCGCCTCCGGGTGCAGGATTTTCTCGCTGTGTTGAAGACCCATTGGTGGCCTTCGGCTGTTATCTGCTCTTTGGTCGTGTTGTTGTCTCTTTGACATATTCCCCATTTCCATTCTCAATTTTATAGTAAACAGGTGAACAAACATTAAAACTTTAAAATGTTATTAGACTTATCTATCAGCTAGTGTACTTATCTATCAGCTAGTGTACTTATCTATCAGCTAGTGTCTATTTACCGTCACAACTGAATCAATATATATACATATGTTAGACTCAGATTGACGTCCAGTCTCTAACCAACCTCCATTCCTGAAGTCGACATCCAAATCTGACGTCATAATAAAATAAGATTCCAAATCTACATGTTTGACCAAATATATATCCCTGAAATAGACATCTTTTTTGTTGTTCTCAAATTAATGTCCCAATATAATATTGGCTTCTCTAATTGATGTTTTTTTTATAGACTAGCCACAATGAAATCAAAGTTTTATAAAATGTTAGGTTGAACCTAATACTAAAAAAGTCGTGAAAGATATAATATTTTAAATCTTGCAAAAACATTGTACATGTAATAATACATTTCAACAATTGGCTGTACTTTTAGTTTTTTATTTTGTCTATTGTTTGAGATAGTGTATTGACCTCTAGACATCTTTCAATTATCTTTGGCATTGGGTGTTTTCTTATTGTTGTACATGTATATATCCATGTGGCATTTATTTATATGAATATGTAAGGAATATGACAAAGTAGATCGAAAGGATGAACTTCTTTCACCCAAATATTAATATGCATGTACATGTTCATGTAATTCTTACATGAAAGATGTTGATGGTCTTCTTGTAATTTTCTGATGTTCGACCTTTTAATTTTAAGCTGTAACATGCCCAAGATTTAATGTCAATAGACCATGACAACCACGACTAAGGGGATTGAACAACTAATCCCCATGGATGAGATGTTGTAATTCTGATACATGTACAACAACACACCAAATATTATTGACTTACCATTACTGGTTTCTCCTCAAACTGAACTAATCAGATTCGGCATATAAACTAACCAATAATTTTTGGGGGCAGGCCCTTTATTAATGAGATATTCAAATGCTCCTTCAACCGCATTATAGTACATGTACATACCACGTATCATTGACTTCCCACAAGTGTTTCCTGTTAAACTAACCTACATGTGCATTAACAGTAATGTGGTCATATTTCATAGGCGGAGGAAGCCGGAGAGAACGACCAACCATCGGTTGGAAGACTGACAATCCTAGTCAATAAAGATTATATTTTGAGTCAAAAAATTGTAATTAAAATCTTGAACAAATTGTTAACGTCATTGGCTATGCCAATAACAGCATACATTTTTTGTACCTTAGTTAAGCTTTGGAAACTTTATGTTGCAGCAAGACAAAAAAAAAAAAAATAGACAACTTTCGAGTTTGTTGCATTTCCCTCAAAAACTTTGGTTTTAGTGAACATCATTCATGCATTTAGGGGCGTCGTCAATTACGTTCTTATGTTGAGCGATTGGTTAAAAAAAATATAATGCTATATCGCGCGAATTATTACTCTAATTAAATTCTTATAATTGATAATCAGCACTTCTGTCATTTAAGAAATGTTATTTAAAAGTACCTGTTGGAACAAACATTATTTCTAGTTCATCCTGCATAATGACGATCAGGAAGACACTTGATGAATTTAATAGTGCAGGGATACAGGCGGTCCCCTCTATCTGGTAAATGACGTCATAAAGGCGTGTATAATTGACGAAATTTTCAAGTGATAATTATTTGCAGATTCATTTAAGGCCAATAAAAAAAAAGGTGTGTTTCCTGTTGCATGCTCCCAAAAAATAAATTGGAAGGTAAAAAAAAATCTAACGAGAAAAAATACTTGTAAGTCATGACTATTTCAGTATAACTTACAATCAATTTTTGTTGTAAATTTTTGTGAAAAGACAACACCCCCCCCCCCCCCCCCCCCCCGATTTTATTTCCATCAACCTTCAGACTTATCATGAAGTGCGGCAATGTTACCAACTGCGAGGTGAGGTTGTGTGAAATTTATTCAAATGGATATATATATGCTGACTGAATGATTCTTTTCTTTAACCATCCAAGGCAATCAGATCAGTGGATGATCAATGATATATGAATGGTTAATCAACATACAATCAGCAATGTTATTGATGTGGTTCAAACTTATAAAACAAGTGTGTTACTGGTCTCCTCGTCACATCATGCATTACAACTGAAATTATTCAAGTGTTCACAAATTTTCTTGCAATTTGATTGAAAAAAAAATATTGTTAGAACCATATTGTCTACATAAATACTTAATACTGACATAATATAACACATGCCAGCGCAAAGGGCATAACACAGCTTTCCTGTATCACTGACCTCAAGCATCAAAATTTTTTGGTATATACCCCAATTATCCAATTCACATCTCCAGCGTTAAAAATTAATATTGTTAACATTTTTATCATGCAGAAGCAATATTAGATCACAATTTTTACCGTGTGAACAACTTCATCGAGAGGTTCTAAAAAACTTGGTTGAAAAGACACACGGTTGGCCCATGGTTTGTGTGGCTGTGGATCTATAGCTTGCTCCTCATGGATGTCCTAGTTTAATGACCATTTTAAATACTTTAAATTCTGATTCAGTTAAACAGCATCAAAATGTTTGAAAACTGACATTTTTAGCTTATAATTTATATTTTTATCTTCATATTTAAAAAAAATAAGGCTGGTTTGAAATTGATGTTTTACCTACAGTTTATATATAATAAGAGACTCTACTGGTTTTCAGCTAATTGTTTACATTTCCAGATCTAAGTGATTGTTGTTTCTTGCCAATACAATGACTAAAATAATCACAATGTCATTGTTTCCATGACAAAAAAATACACTGAAAATTGTTTTTTCTAAGAACCTTTTCCCTTATATGTCAGGAAATAATTATATCAAACCCTCATATGTCAGGAAATAATTATACCAAACCCTTATATGTCAGGAAATAATTATATCAAACCCTCATATGTCAGGAAATCATTATAACAAACCCTCGTATGTCAGGAAATAATCATACCAAACCCTCGTATGTCTGGAAATCATTATGCCAAACTCTCATATGTCAGGAAATCATTATACCAAACCCTCATATGTCAGGAAATCATTATACCAAACTCTCATATGTCAGGAAATCATTATACCAAACTCTCATATGTCAGGAAATCATTATACCAAACCCTCGAATGTCAGGAAATCATTTTACCAAACCCTCATATGTCAGGAAATCATTATACCAAACCCTCGAATGTCAGGAAATCATTATACCAAACCCTCATTAGTCAGGAAATCATTATACCAAATTTACTCTTGCATGAATTAACATTCAATTACTAATGGTAAATCATATATTTTGTGTTTATACTGTAATATAATAACTATTTCAGTTTGACCACAATGTGGCTGCTCATTTGATTCTGATAATTTGGTATAGTCTGTCTGAAACTTGATCTTACATGACTCAAACAAGGCTATATTTGTTCAGTAAAGAGATGACAAATTATCTCCCTTTAAATTTGTTTTACAGAATTGGTTGTCGAAATTATCTCCTTTTGACACAGTTCTAATAATTTGGAGTTTCTAAGCTTAGCTTAGTGGAAAATTAAAAAGTAAGTGTATTATTATATTCAAACTATTCTTCTTAAGAACTACTCTTTTATGTTATGTTTGAAAAACAGAAACTTTGTTTTAAAAGATAATCTGATAGAACTATATAAAGAAGTAGGCCCAGTAAGACCCCTTTTTGGCCCCAAAATATAGCAGTTTTTCAAAATTGTTAAAATGTAAATTTTTAGCTATTTATTGGAAAGAAGAATACTTCTGTTACATAGATATGGGCAGTTTTTGACAATACAATGCGCATGTATCTGGTACTAGCATCATTAAGTCATGCTAAATTGCTGAAATCTTCGAAAGTTTAGCATTTTGGTTAATTTTTAGACGGTTTCCGTCTGAAATGGAAGTGGCCGCATTTGTGTTCATTCTTAATATTTAAATGTAAGTTGTATTTAATGATAATACATAACATATATAAAGGTTGAGAATGAACACGGATGCGGCCACTTTCATTTTTGACAAAAACCATCCGAAAAGTGACATATTATGGCATATTTGATAGATTTTTAATTTTTAAGCTTGAATTTGAGCGACTTTAATGACTAAATCAGTTCAAATCTTTCACATAAAGTAATTGAATCGACTGAAGTAGACACTTAAGTGTTTAAAAAGTGTCAAAAATCTTTCATCAGATGAACCTGAATTTTGAGGCCAAAATCGGCCCTTACCGGACCTCCTCCTTTCCAAATGCAGATTGTCTGAACTTAATTCTAGAAAGAAAGGAATTGTGTGTAATTTTTCATCCACTAAAAAAATGTTATAACGTAGCCATTGGTTGGTAATTCTTGTTTAAAGGACATTGTTAACCCACAAAATTACCCACAATGCATCAGATTATGAACCATTATGATTATGAGTTTTCCTAATGTTAACTTGAGTGATTATCAAATCTAATATATGTAAATTAGATCATCAAAAATCTTACCTGATATGATGTTGTTCCAGTAGAACGCCCTCTAGTGCTGGTGCCACCTCTACCGTAACCATTACTAGCACCAGGGGGAGTTCTACCAACTCCTGCAAAAGTAGAATTCAAAAAATTTATTTAAATATCAGTAAAAATAAAGTTTTTATTCATTAACATGCATCACATAGAGGTAAATTAATTTCTTCCTCTCATCAGTACATGAACTTGTTAAACTCATGTTTTTTTTAAAGATGATTGATCCATTGTAAATATAGAAAAAGTAATGTTCAAATGAACAAATGCTTGACATAAAATCTTTATGATAAGTTACACATTTTATGAATTTCAGTCATACCTTCAAATAATATTAAACTAGCATTAAAATTACACATTCTACAAAACAAGAATGCACAGGTTGTCATGTTAAACTACTACACCCACTCGTAAAACTATTACCCCCACTTGTAATTCAAAGTATTGGCAAACAGGAAGTAGCTGTCTGACTGATCTAAAAAGTGCTCATACTTTACAACTCATCACTGTCAAGCTTCTGAATAAATATGAAGTCATTATGTTCTGTACATATATACATATTACCAGAGTAGTTTGGAAAAGTGTATCATGCCAGAAAAAATATGACGAACAGACAGACAAGGTAAATGCAATATATCCCCACTCTAGAGTTGGAGAATAATTAATGGTATCTGCTATGTAAATTAGGGACTTATGACTAGATATCTGAGATTTGTTCTCAATTTTGAATTACAATAAAATGGAAAAACATGCTTACATACATTATATCACGAAAAACTATTTAAAATAGGTTGTGAAAAAAAAAACATAACAGGCATAGCCATTTTGATTATCTTTCACATAAAAAAGCATTAAATAACGATTCTTTGTATTTTGAATCGTGATTATCATGATTACTCCAATGTTCTCGCAGATAGCTGACAGATGAGATGTGGCTGAGAAACATCTTAAGAGTTTGAAAGACCACTGATAATCTGTTTATCGCTATTTGCCTATGACATCTTTAAGTTTTACATTACAGGAAAGTGCATGAATTAGAAAGTCGTCTACATGTTTTGTGTCTTCTGCCAAAATTCAGAAAATCATAATATATTTTACAATAGATGAGATAAATGGATAATTATAAAGGTAGGGTCGATAAGGCCCAAAATTGATAAGTGCTAACAAGTCATTCTATCAGTAGAGCTGGAGAAATGTGTAACAAAAATATTCCAAATCTATTCAACATATCGGAAATTCAAAGTATCGGCAAACAAGAAGTAGGTGTCCGACAAGTGCTCACACGTCATAATTCATCACTGTCAAGCTACTGGCTAATCATATATTTCATTAAGTTTTTCTAGATGAATGGAATATACATCAATGAGACAGCAACCCAATGACAAAAATAACATTAACACATCTAGAGGTCAACTTACAGTCTTCCCGATAGACATCTAGAGGTCAACTTACAGTCTTCCCGATAGACAGGTATCTATACAATTTGTTAAACTCTAAGTTCTGGGTCTATAAAAAGTTGCCAATAAATTAAACAAAAAATTACAATCAATTCGTATTTTTCATGATATTGCATGGACACAATGGACGAAAAATAACTATATGTATTTCACAAAAACATGCATAACTGAATCCTTATTTTGGTGACATTTTTATGGATGCAAGGTAAGCTCATCCTAACCAAAAAAGTAGAAAAAGATAAAAGATAGAAACAAGAAAAGAAAAAAACAATTGCCAAACATAAAGGAAGAAATGAGATCCTTCGTCAAAGATAAAAATAACAAAAAACTGTTGTCAATAATAAAAAGAAATAAAAATTATTATCAAGGAGTTTTATTAGTTACAGATTTATTGTGAATGTATTTAGGAAAAAGGTTCTACCAAAAACGTGCAATGTGCATATACAGATATATATATACCATAACTTATGCTTTAGATTAATAGATAGACCTATTATTGGGTTTAAGTTATATAGTAGCATGGTTTCATTTTAAAATTTAATGCATACTGTATGGTATTATAGACTAACTAAACCCATTTTGACAAGGAATTTTTTCCAATGGAATTCTTATATTTTTTATATATGACTGTGTAGATAAATCAACTCAAATCTGACTGATATATTCTTTCTTTCACTAAAAATTATAAATTGAATATCAAATGCAAATGGTATTTATAGAAACTAAACAACACAAAATAACCCTGATAAATGACATGTATAGGTCCTGACATATAGTTTTGAATTTTAAAATATTTTGTTGACTTTTGAGTTAAAAAAAATTCTCGACATTGATTTCAAATACTGTTCTCTAAATTAACCTAGATTTCTAAAAAATATACAACTAAATAACACTAAAACTTTAATCTAGCTATACGGCATGATTGAAAGAAACAAATATGTTAGCTTAAAGCCATTGTTTTGCATATAAAATAATTCTTATAGGCAATTTTCCAATCACCTTAAAAAGTACATGTAAGTTTAAAAAAAAGTTAAAAAGCAGAAAAGCTTCATTGTAACTTCGGCCATGCATTAAAAATCAGATGTGAAATTTAAGTTTCCACTAATGTAATTTGGTAATGTCAATAGTAACTTAGCTTCTTAACGCCATTATCATTATGGGTTTAGCAGTATTACATGTTTACTATGAGGATAACAGGTCAGCTCATATACTTTTTTTATAAATTTTTTTATCAATAATTTTTTGAATAAATATTTTCATCACCTGCTTTTCTATTCTGAACTGGAGGATCCAAGTAGCCTGTATCGCTCACCCATTAACTTTGCAATGTATGCACAATATATTCATGTCAATTCATAAGGGGAATATGGTTTGGTCAAGATGTCAACGTATATTTGTTTTGCCTAGTTCCCCTGGGAACTTTCTAATAAACAATGTCATGATATCTGTTCCTTTTGGAACATATATTCTATACCCTTTATTCCTTAAGGAATAAATACTGTAATATTATGAGGGGGTAGACAGGGGGGTACCCTTCTCCCACCTCCCACTTTCAGAATCTTTTTTTTTGTCTCCCACCTTCCCCCCACCCCCACCCCATACCACAATCATACCACATCTCCTTATTTTATAGAAAAACAGTTATTTTATGAACTTTCTAAGTCCAAATGCCAACTCATATGATTGATTGTTGCTTGTTTAATGTCCAGTGGCAAATTTGTCATGCATATTCAGGACGAATGATCAATTAATATGTAGGTAGGTTGACCAGGATGAAAGGCTGGTAATTTGGACTGCAACTGGAAAATGAGGTACAGAAATTTAGCTTTGACCCCTCAGAGAGTTGTTGCAATGGTTCTTTAATGTGCAGAGATCATAGCAAATCTGCAAAGAAGGCTGAAATGGAGATAACTTTCACTTAACGAAATTTTGTCAAAATGGTCATAATTAAGTAAAACGAGAAATTTTTTGGGAAAATATATGTAACTTTTTATTTCACAACTGTAAGTGGAAAATTAAATAAATGTTTATGATGACAGTCATACAAGTATCATATTTCTTGTTTAAACCATATGATCTATACTTAGTTTAACAGGATGCTTGGGGATTGGCAGGAACATCAGGAATACATTTACAAGAAAACAATTGAAGGACGATTGTGTTCACATTTGAATTCAATTGCAAAATGGGTTTTAAAGGAAAAGACCATATAAAAAGTGTAATGAAGAATGTCAACAACAGACTGATATCTGCAAAAAAAAAGGGGGAAAAGGAGACGAAACTAATATTCATATAAAATTTTCTGAAGTTATTATTAGTCAGACGATGGATGCCAGGCGAAAGCAATAGCTCACAATGGCCCTGTGGACAGGTGAGCTAAAATGTAATTTAATTCTTCACTTAAACAATTTTGACAAACAGTTGCTACCAACAAAGGAAGTGATAGTAAATGTTTGTCCAAACACCCAAATTCAACAAAAATCAGAACAGATCAGTGCCGACCCGGTATTTCCTCTGTATTAGCAATCTAATGAAGGATAAAACACATCTCAGATACCCTGTCATAAGATAGAACACGATGAAGACTTGGTCGCTTGTTTGTCACTTTTTTTTGACAGAGGCTTTTTGGATTTTTGGCCTAGGGAAATAAATGGAATAATATTACAATTCTCTGCTCAGTTACTATCTTGACAGCTCAGTAAAGACATTTTATCCTCGAATTGACTTCCATTTATTTATTGATGAAAAAGAACTGAAATCAAATTGAGCAATGCATAACAAAAAAAACTGAAAATGGTCCTTTCTGCCATATTTTTTTGTTTGTTTCTTGTTTTGTTTAATAAAAAATAACCTAAAAGAAATATCACTTGCTTAGTTTCTTCCTTTAATTTTTATGTAAACAAATACTTCCTTCAAAAAAGTTTTGAGATGAAAATCACAATCAATATGATATAATTGTGAAAATGTTCAAAGTACAAAGGACAGAAAGGTGGAATACTTGTGTACAGACCAATGAATTACCCACAATGCATTACCTGGTTGAGATGCTGGTGCCCTGCCATACCCTGGACTATCTCCTGCTCCTCCTGGGCTTGCTTTTGTCTTTGGCTTAGGTGCCTGATACTGTAAAATCCAAGTACTTTAAATTAATAAATTATACAATACAGTTGTTCAAATGAGAAATCCTTTGTATATAAACCAAATAATTAACTTGAAACTAATGTTTTGTGAGAATGCTTATGTAACATGTTATAAATAAAAATGATAAAATACATAATGTTAGATTTCTGTTAATTGTTTTTTACAGCTTGCTATGTGGTATTCTGCTCATTGTTAACGGTTGTACTGTGACCTATACTGTTAACATCTACGTCGTTTGGTCTCTGGCAGATAGTTGTTTCATTGGCAGTCATACTAAATCTCCTTATTTCATATAAAACTATAATTTAACTTAACTCAGTTAAGTGTCATTATTTTATCATAACTAGGTTACAAGCCATCATTTTATCTTTCTGTGTTACGAGCCACAATTTTATCTTACAAGTTACAAGTCATTATTTTATCTCACTGTGTTATGAACCTTCATTTTATTTTAGGTGTTATAACAATCTATCATTTTA